GCGCAGGGTCACGTGGCCGCGCCGGCAGCCTGGGCTTTGCAGTTCCGCGCGCCCCGAGCGCCAGACCGGGAAGCGTCGGGCGCGTCCTGCAGCCTCCGCCTGCCGCTGCTGTCCCGCCCGTCCTCGCAGCCGGCGGTGGCCTCCCGGGCTCCTCTCGCCTCTGCTCCTTCTACTGCTCAGGCCCTGCGAGAACGCGCGCTCGCGGCTCGGACCTTGACATTGAAGAACCCACTGCCAGCGGCCGTTTGGCTCGTCACGCTGACCCTGTTGCCCCAACTTGGCTCGTTTTCATGTGAAAGGGAGCTGAGCAGATTCAAAAATGAACTAGCTAGCCGGCCTTGGTGCTACGTGCCTGTTATCCCAGCAGTCTGGGAAGCTGAAGTAGGAGGACTGCGAGCTCAGTGCCAGCCTTCACTATTTAGCGACTTAGCTTAGCGGGACCCTGGCTCAAACAGAGAAAGGGGTGAGGATGTTGCTTAGTGCAAAGGCCCAGGATGTTGCTTAGTGCAAAGGCCCTGCATCAACCAGTACAAAAGAAAAGGCGGGAGGCGAGTGGCAGTTACCGTGGGTGATGGGGTCCTGGGCAGGTTCCTAAGTTCTTGCGCACGCTGGTAAGGAGAGAGCATCAGAGTTTATTAGGCGACGCATGCTCAGAGAGTGCCGGTTTGCTGGCAGGCAGAGCGCTAAGGGAGGGTTAGGGTGTGGGGTTTAAAACGTTGCCCCATTACTAGGGCGCCTCCCAGTGGGATGTTCCAGAGCGTGAGTGACGCAACGTCAGTGACAGGGCGCTGAGTCCTGTCGGTTGCCTCTACTTCACATGTCCTTTTCCATGCATAATTCAGTGTTATAACTGTGCGCATGAGATATGGCCCGTATGCATAAACCTTCAGCGACCTCCAAGTGCAGAAAGTCACTACGGGTCATGCGTGGGGCGAGAGGCAGTCTGGCTAGGGTACATCCTGGTTTGGAATATTGGAATTTTTCAGGATAGGCTTGGAGAGCTCTGTTTTTCTTATTTCCTTCTCCATTTAGTAAACCTAGGACAATGATGGTGAACATTTTAGAACTTTAGAACTTTCAGTGGTAACAAACGGCTGCAGCAGGGTTATGGTATGTTCCCCAGCACTGGCCTAAGACAAGGGTGTGAGGTAGGGGTTGCCCTGGGGCCTTACCCAGGTTCAGGTGAGCAGGGGAGTGGTCCGTAGCCTCCAATCATACTATCTATATTGTTTCCCCCTGAGAGACGTGGCCCCCTGACATCTTTAAGGGATATTGAGCGGAATGTCCATCTTCTCCTGCTGAGTAGGGGCTTTGACACTTCCTTGTAGATATGGTGGAACTCTTGCTCTACCAGATCTAGGGGATCTCATTTTCCCAAACGGAGAAGGTCCCTGTTAATGTAACTCTGTTATAGGCAGCTAAGTGAGATAGAAATTAATGTACAGTCGGGGAGGGACTGGGCTCTCAAGGAAGTCAGCACAAAAATAAACACATCAAAATTGTGGTGGGAGGTCCATCTGAAAGCCAGGCCTCAAGATAAAGATGCAATGGCCAGGCCTACCTGCCTCCCTAGAGAATAAACAATAACGCGAGATTATGTTCTAATAGCATCAACTGGTTCAGTAAGTCTAGATAGGCATCGGTCTCCTAGGTGGGTGACTAAAACATCTGAACCCATCCCTCCCCAGAAGTGCCTTTGTTCTTTCCAAGTACCCTTGCTACATGACTGGTTTCCACATTGGACCAATATTAGCTAAGCAGCTATACTTATTATGCTATAAGTTGATTGTAGCTTGACCCACATTGTACCCACACTGTGATTTTATTTTATAAATTGCCCCTGACAAAGGGCTCGAGGGACCACTCATTTGGGACCCCTCCTGGAAAGCCAGCAGCTGTTCCGTCCTTATTTCCAATAACACTGTCCTACCTTCTTCCTTTAGTTTGTGACTTCATTCCTCAATGTTGTGGGGGCCATGAACATGGCACATTCGACATCTAACAGGTCAAGAGTTGTATTTCTCCTGTGTCAGGTCCAGTTGGAGGTTGAAAGGGCTCCTAAGTGTCTAGAGGAGTTTTGTAGTTCTGTTTTTCTAATGTATGAAATTTCTTGCTGGTTGTGGTGGTGCATGCCTGTAATTCCAGGACTTGGGAAGCTGAGGCAGGGGATCCATGTGAGTTCAAGTGTTGGGAGCGGCTGAAGCGGAGAGTAATTACACATGGGACAAAGCCAGCCCGAGAACGTGGGAGCTCCTTGAAGCACATAAGCAAGCCGTTGTAGCTTGTTAAGTAATTGCTGGGCAGCGAGGCTGAAATCAGTCAACCTCTTGAGGGTATAAATAAACGCTCTACTGTTCTTGGGCCCTTCCCCTTCTCTGCTCAGGAGAGAGAGGGTCTTCACTTGATCCCAGCTTTTGGCTCTTGTCTATTTTTTTCCTCATTCTCCCCACCGTTCCTTCCTGGGGTACGGCAAGAACCCAACAGATCCGTACATTCAAGGTCACCCTGAATTACACAGTGAGACCCTGTCACAAAAAGCCAAAAACACTTTTTTTCCTTTTGGTATCCACTAACATGCATTCAGTCAAGTTTTCATAACTGGACACAAGTAGTCACTGGTCATGGGCTGGGCAATCTTCCCATGGACCCTGATCACAGGGTCCCCTTTGGCAACATTCTGATCCCTTGGTTTTCTAACCTCTGTGTGTCCAGAGGAAGCTTTCATGTGAACCACGGTAGGTTTTTAAATTATGTGGCTTGGGTTACCTGCATACTGGCATGGTCTTGTGAGGGTTTTATTTTTAGGATTTGTTTGCAAAAGGACTTTCAATGTGCCCCAGTCTTGATTCTGGCCCTGGTCTTGAATCGTTATTATACACAGGGGTATGTAGAACTTGAGCAACATGTGACTGAATATTGGGTCCCAAATGAGTGGTTTCTGTGGAAGAAACCCGAATAAGGTCATTTTGATGGATCTGAGGAGGGCAGCAGCCCTCTGTGTTGGGGTCATTTCCTTGACCTGAAAATCATATAGGACATCTAAAAACATTAGCTGAAGGGATGGCCCCTTTGATATTTGGGGTGGAAGGTCATCTTTCCTGTGGCCTAAAGTAGAGCTGGGATTGCCACTGGGCTGGGTCTGAGAGATTCCTGATATAAGGAATTTAACTTATCTCACTGTAGCAGACTCATTGATTCCCATCACAGAAAAAGAATTTTCAGAATGCTTCAATAAGAGGTGTGAGAGGATTTATTAGAAGTTTAGGACACACTCAAGAGTGGAATGTGGGTGCTCAGAGAAACGAGATGCATTACAGTTTGGAACTGGGAACATTTATGCTTTGTCCATTCCACAGGCATGAGCTTCTTTCTTTCCTTCCTTCCTTCCTTTCTTCCTTCCTTCCTTCCTTCCTTCTTTCCTTCCTTCTTTCCTTCCTTCCTTCCTGCCCGCCTGGCTTCCTTGCCTGCCTGCCTGCCTGCCTGCCTGCCTTCCTTTTTGATAGGTGATTCAAACATTCTCTGGAAGGCTGGGGATAAGCTCAGTGGCACAGCACCTGCCTGGCAAGTGGAAGGCCTTGAGTTTAATTCCTGGTACTGAAAGAAGAAAAGAAAACATTCTCTGGATTTTCTCAGCCTATTACTTACATTCTGAATTGGGCCAATTTAGACCGAAAGTCTCTGCCTGAAAGAACTAAAGGAGACAGGAATACAGGTTTTGCTGTTTGTAAACTATCACTCTTCAATAGTCTGACAGAGAGGGCAGGGGCAGCTGGGTGTTGTGGCATAGGCTTATAATCCCAGAATTTGTGAGGCAGAGGCAGGTGGATTGCTGAGAATTCAAATCCAGCCTGGGCTACATAGTGAGTTCATGACCAGCCTGGACTCTACAGTAAGACCTTGTCTTGAAAAAAAAGAGAGAGAGGGCAGGGGCATATGAGACATTAGCTCACAACAACAATGGATCATGCCATGCAAAAGAATTCCAATACAGAGTACGATAGCCAGAGAAATGAGAACTTTTTACTATCAGGTTGTTCCAGAAAACCTGGGTATTCTCCAGCATTAATGCTTTGGGCAGAGGCTGACACTGCACCAGTTTGTGAGCACAGCGCTTGCAGTGCTGAGTTGTCAGGAATGTATGTACAACATTCTGCTTTCATAAAAACACAGATTGTACCTTGTGCTGCTGTTAGAATATCTAGGGCAATTTGGTTTTGTAAAATGGATTTTCTCATCATTTGTACTTCTGAAGTTCATAATGAAATACCCTCTGCAGGGTCATTGAGAACTTTTTGTGTATGGTTAGTAAGCAATTCAGTGTGCCCCTTTATATTCTCAAGTCCTATTTGAGGGATAAAGATAGAAGCCAAACGATCATAGCAGTGAAAAATGGATCTGGTCCACTGATGTCACAAGTCAGTCCATGGTTTTAAGCCAGTGCCCTTGTACCCATGGGTACTCTAATGTATATCTTCCTATCTACCCTGGAAGTGACCGAGGCCATAGGTTTGTGCCATAGCACCACTGAATACTGTTTGGGTCTGGTCATCTTATTCTAGCTCTTGCTTTCCAATCAGTAGCAAAATGTCAGTACAGTACCTTTTAACACAATAGTGTGATTACAGCTCTGCACAGGAATCCAGTCCATATTTTGGGTTGCATTGCTCCACTTATCATAAACGGGGTTGTTTGTTCCCAACAAAGGAGTGCTACTTTGCTGAGCTGCCCCAGAATATATGTCAGCCATAGATGTTCATCCCAGACCTGAAAATATG